ACCCTTTCTCCCCCTCCCTCGCTGACACACACACACACCCTCTCTCCCCCTCGCTGGTCCACCTGGGTCCTGGCAGGCCTGCAGTTGCCCGGGATATCTCTCACCAAAGAGCCAAAGTGGCCAGGATTAAACACGCAACCAGCCAAGAGGGTGCTGAGCACAGATGGAACTCCCAGTAGGCCTTTCTTTGGGGGACTGAAACCCCGTGGGGCCTCCCTCCCGTTTACCACCCCATTCCCCCCTTGCTATCCCCAACTCTACTGCGAGGCCAGGTACCCTTTGGGCTGCAGCTCCAACTGGCTACCTTGCAGACACTCAACCTGTGTTTGCCCATCGCTGGGTGATGGGTGTTGGCCTTGAGTGGGGGGTTTTGGCTTCAGAGGCACCCCGGGCATCAGAAGGGGTATGGCAGCAGGAAGGCCCCACAGAACTGCTTCCTTTTGGGGTCCCCTCTCCTGGGGCCTGCTGAGTCCTGCCTGGCTGCTTGGGTTTTCTGCTGGCTGGTGGGGGCCGGTGGAACCCTGTTCCACCCCCGTGGGGTTCAGCAGGGGGAAAAGCCCCTTGGTCCTGTTCCAATGTTGTGAACCTCTGTGGATAAAATGAAAGGTCTTGTGACCAGGATTCTCACCTAGCCCTGGTTGGCTAGCTCACTACACACGTGTGGGCAATACGTTGCTATTGACTCTATATAAAGAGCTCCACCCAGTGGTGTGGGTGCAATACGGTGGCACGGCTGCAAGGCTGCAGGAGAGCTGAGCAGAGGCTGGAGTGGTGGCAGCACCGAGGACAGAGGCCCAGAGGACAGCTGTGCAGGACGGCTGTGCAGAGAGGCCCGGAGGCAGAGACCGGCTTGCTGCATGCAGACTTGTTCTGAGTTAATGGGATTTTAGTGATTGACCTGCCACTGTGGAAATACAGTTGGGTATAACCCTTTCACCCAAAAGAAACGTTTTATTGTCATTTTCTTTGGTCACATTGAATCCATAGTGAACTTGCCCGGGGCTGAAACCCATTGGCAAGACAACATGCTAAATAGTTTTGTCTGATATTCATAAAGAATACAGCACTCCATATTTTTGTTCACAAGTCCTTCACAAATGTTTCATTCAGTGGGGGTGGGGGAAAGGAATTGTTCCTAAAAGTGAAATTATTCAAAAGGTATTCAAGGTCTTGGAATATACTGCAAATTGCCCTCAGAAAGCTATGTATGTCAGCATCTAAATAGTGTGAGTCTCTGCTTCTCCCTTGGCAACATTGTAGGCAGATTGTTTTAATCTTTGCCAGTTTGGTGGGTGTCAAATAGTTTTCAGTGCAACTGTCAAGGTCAGTTTTAGCAAGTTAACTATGACAGCACTTATATCCCATTTACAGTTTCAGCAAGTGGCTGGGCTCTTATCTCTGCCACCCCAGGACTGGAATCCAGGAGCAGGGAGCTTGTTCAATACAGAAGACAACAGGTTCAGTGCTGTGGGGAAAGGGGAAGTTCCTATGGCCAGGATTCTCACCTGGCCCCGGCTGGCTCGCTCACTGCACGCGTGTGGGCAATACGTTATTGTTGACTTTATATAAAGAGCTCCCTCCAGCGCTGTGGGCTGCGCGGCTGCAGGAGAGCAGAGGCTGGAGTGGTGGCAGCGCTGAGGACAGAGACAAAGGAGGATTACAGACCTGCAGACTGTTGGATGCAGAGGTGATTCCATGCTTCACTTGTCACTGTGGGAATAAAGTTGGGTATATACCTTTCACCCCAAGAATATTCCATTTTCATTTTTTGGTCTCACCGAATCAAGAGGGAATGTGGTTTCAGCTGAAACCCATTGGCAGGACAAGTGCTAAACCCACTAACCCATCAGTATGTGCTGTATTAAATAAATCACCCCAAAATTTAGTAGCATAAAGAACATGCACTGACTTGCTCATAATTACATGAGTTGCTTTAAATGATGACATTTAGGCTGGACACAGCTGAGATGGCTCATGACTACTGTGGCCTCACGTGTTTGGCTGAGGGCTGGCTATTGAGAGCACTAGTGGTATTAACTGGACATGTGCTGTCCATCCTAGAGCAGGCCAGCCCTGGCTCATTCACAAAGTGATGGTTGCAGGATTCTCAAGAGAAGCAAGACAGGACAAGCCCAAGGAAGTGCTTTTCAAGATCTCTGGAGGGAAAGTCCATCTCACACACTGAGAACTCCCATTTCCTGCCCTCAGTTTGGTCAAGGCCTAGGGATCGTACAGTGTTCATGTGTTGGGGAAGGGCCCAGGGTCACCAGTCCTGGCACATGTCACCACGAACCTGTCCACCTGCTCTCCCAGGGTGCTTCTGGGTTGCCTTGTGGAGAACTCTTGGAAAGGGAGAGAAGGAAACTCCAGCTAGGGTTCAGCCGGGACAGTGGTAGTGTGAGAGGACGAGGGTCACGATGGAAGATGGACAGGGCTGTGCGATGCTTGGAATGAATGGGGTCAGGAAGGGAGCATGAAGCAAAAAGGATTCCAGATGGATTCTACTTCTCCCCAAAGACATTTGGGCTGGGAGAGACTCCTACCTGAGGTCCTGCCCGTGTGCTGCAGCCTGTGTGGAGGGGTCATGCTACTGCCTGGTCTTCCCAGTCGGACATGCCACAACTGCTAAGGATAAGCCTTCACGGTGCCCACAGCTGTATATGAACTGGAACGACACTAACCCCTGAGGCAGGCTCAGGTGCTAAGCTAGGAGGCAGACTGTGGGCTGCATCCTCACCTCCAAGACATGCAGGGCATGTTAACCCCTTGCACCGCTGTTGGTGTATGTTTTACTTCTACATGTTATAATCCTGTGATGCATTTTTATTATTTTTGCTGTAACTATCTTTAAGAGAAAATAATAAGTGAGAATTAAAAGAATACGTTATTTCCCATTTCCTGTTCTCTTTCTTCATGAAGATGTTTCCATATTGTGTCATTTCCCTTCAGCCTTAAGAATTTCCTTTATTCCCATGGTGCAAGTCTGTGACAGACATTCTATTTTTTTTATCATGGTAAAATATATACAACATGTAAGTTGTCATATAAACATATTTAAGTGTCCAGTTTAGTGGCATTAAGTACTCTCACAATGTTGTGCAACCTCGTCACTGTTTCCACAACTTCTTCATCACTCCAGAGATTCCGTGCCTACTAAGCAAACATGACTCCTCATTCTTACTCCTCAGATCCTGGGAACCTTTAATCTACTTTCTGTCTCTATAGATTTGCCTAGTCTGGATATTTCATGTAAGTGGAATTAAACAGTATTTGTCATTGAAATATCTGGATTATTTTACTTAGCATAATATTTTTGAGGTTCATCAGTGCAGCGCTGATCAGCACATATTCTCTTTCAAGGCTAAATTATTTCGCTGTAGGTGCATACTACATTGTTTACCCATTCATCCTCATGGACACTTGGGCGTCCACTTTCGGCAGTTACTAATAATCCTTCGCAGACAGTGGTGTACAAGTATGTGTGCGTTTCTTATGGGTATGCATCCAGAAGCGGAATTGCTGGGTAGTATGGTAATTCTATTTTTCACTTTTTGAGGAACTGCCAAACTATTTTCGACAGCAGCTGCTCCATTCTACATCTCTCGGCAGTGTACTGGGGTTTGCACATGCTTCTGTACTTATTTGCACTGGTAAACCAAAGTCCTTCATGTTTTCAGGGGCTTAACACGTCTATCCAGGGACGTCTCTCCGCTGCTTCGGCCCACGAACAACGTTATGGAGTCCAGGCGATCCTCGCCCCGCGTCGCCCCTGAGGAGCGCCCAGAGCATGTTCTGCGCGGAGGAAGGAAGTGCGCTGCAGCTGGGCCTCAGACCGGGTTTCGGTTTTCTCTCCTAGTCCCGCAGGAAACGGGAAGCTGGGGCGGAGAAGCCGGCCGGAGCCGCTCCAGACCAGGACCACGCACGCGCGCTCGTCCCCACCTCAGCACCGCCCCGCCCCCTCTCTGCGCGTGCGTGCCCCCCCTCCTCCCAGACGTTGCTAGGGCGACGGCTCGTACCGCGCCCCTCGGCAACGCCCGGAGCCTGGCTACAGTGCGCAGTCTCGGCGCGTCCCCGCCCCGCCAGCGGAGACAGTCGCGCGGCGATGACGACCCGGCGCCCCGGCCTGGCATCGAGGACTCCGGAGATGGAGGAAAAGGAGCAATTACGACGGCAGATCCGCCTCCTGCAGGGTGGGTCGGGCCGGGCCCGGGCCGCGGGTCCTGTTCTATTCCCTCACATCACGGCGGGACCTCGCCCGCCTCTCCGAGGGGGTCGCTCTCCGCCGCGGTCTCAACGGCCACGTCGTGTGGGGTGGGGAGGGAGGGAGGGTCGGGCGGGGGGTGGGGACCCGGAGGGCTTCCGGGCCGGCCGGGGCTAGCTCGGCCCGGGTTTCGCCAGCCAGCCAGGGCCGGCCCTTACGGCGCCGCGGCTGGTGGCGGCGGGGCGGTCGCGTCCTCGGCGCCCCCGCCCCCGCCGGCGGGGCGGAGGGCTGGTCCCAGGTGTCGTGCGGCAAAACCCGCTCGGGGCGCGGGCGTGTTTCTTTTCCGGACGCCAGCTTAGGACACCTCTCTTCACACACTGTCTCGATATTCCAGGCCCAGACTTCCCAGGCCTCAGTTTCCAAACTTAAACATTTTAGACCTAAATGAGGTTTTCTATACTTCAAAAATTTCCTTTTTGAAGGTATTCTCACAAAGAGGCGGCTTAGGAACTTGGAAAGTGTGGGGATGAGGGGGAGGAGAATCCAGCTGGGCTGGCGCCGCCTTTCAGGCCACCGCTTGGGCTTCCCTCGCGCTTGTCCTGAGATGGCGCTAGGTGGGGTCATAGCTGTTTTTGAGCCCGGGGGCAGGACTTACGGTGGGGGGTGTTGTGTTTGGGGGACTGGCTGCTGGTTTGTAGGTTGAGTTGGGCTGGGGATTGTTGAGCTGAGGCCCGTGCCCCCTGCTCCAGGGCAGCCGGCCAGGGGCTTCCTTGGAATGTCTCTCTGGTGGTGGTCGATTCACTGCACTGGGGCCTCAGGCGGTCCTCTCCTTAGGGGAGGGTTGTGTGACGTTTTTTAAAAATGTGGAGGTCACTTGCCTTACACTCATTCTGTGTGCCAGGCAAAGGGATTATTAAGGGACAGGCTAGAGGGCCTCTGTGGCCAGCTGGCCCCCTTCTTGTCGAGGCATTACAGCATGGGGCCTTGCTGGTCTCTTCATCCCAAGTGATGCTTCGCTTCAGAGGATTGTGGACCCAGCATGATAGTCCTGGCAAATGGGGAATATTATACCGTAGGGGTGCATTTTCAGGATAAGCCACCAGAAATGTGAGTGAAGTAGAACTGTTGGGAAAAGGCTCATGGGAAAAACAGGCCTAGGGAGTTGGGGCTGAACTGTCAGTAGTTCTCAGGCACTAGAGGCTGCCCCTCCTGTATGGGACCTGGCAGGGGTTAAGGAGCAAGATGGGGACTCTGAGGTGTATTGTCAGCTGATGCCATCCCAGGGGATAGTTGCTGGTTTCACACTCTCTCTGGTTAACAGCTTGTGATTCTGTCTTCTCAGGTCTGATTGATGACTACAAAAACCTCCATGGCAGTGCCCATGCCCCAGGCACCTCAGCCTCTTCCCAGTGGCAGCTGCCTGCTTACAACAGCAGCAGGGCCTTCAGTGCCCGCTGTCCACGCCCAGGCCGGAGGGGCTTCTCCCTGAACCACGGGCCAGCATGGCGCAAGAAATACTCCCTGGTGAATCGGCCCCCAGAATCCTCAGACATGCCTGGTGACTGTGTTGTGCAGCTGCCACTCAGCACTGGAGGTAGTCATGGTTCTGACCGCCAGCAGTATGTCCTGCAGAGGCAGGTCCAGCTCAGTTCAGATCAGAACATGGTCATCAAAATCAAACCACCATCAAAGCCAGGCTTGGCTAGTGCTGCTGGGGTCCTGCGGGGCTCTTTGAAAGAATATGAGGACCCTCGCTGGAGTGACCACAGGCCTCAGGAAGGTGAGGGTGAGCCTCCCGGTGGGCTGTGGCAGCTGTCAAGGCCAGGAAGAGGCAAGGGGAGCGGCAGTGCAGAGGACCCCCTTCTGGTTTGCCAGAAGGAGCCTGGCAAGCCCCGGGTAGTGAAGTCTGTAAGCAGTATGAGCGACGGCACCTTGGATCCCCAACGGACAGTCAGTGAGAGCGCAGTTGCCATCAAGCCTCGCTTCCAGGCCTCTTCCCTGCCCCAGTGCAGTAGTACAGCCCTGGGCCGGAAGGTGAGCTCTCACTCCGTGGGCAGCGGTGTTGCACAGCTCCTTGGGGCTGGGAGAACAAATGCCAGCCACCCAGATGAGCCAGCTCCATCTGGCTTGTTGCCAGGTTCAGCTAGACCATCTTTTGGACCCAGGCAGGCCCGGGAGTCCTGTCTGCTTGCATCCTGTCGCACCAACAAGTTCCGGAGAAACAACTACAAGTGGGTGGCTGCCTCAGCAAAGAGTCCCCGGGCCACTAGGAGAGCCCTTAGTCCCAGAGCATGTGTGCAAGAGAATGTGTGTAAGGCCCCCCTTGACACAGCAGAACAAGTGGAGAAGCCGCAGCTCAGAGGTGACCCAGATGCCAAGCCCAGGAGGTCGGCTGCATTGTCCACAGCTGGAGCTGCCCGCAGCAAGTACAAGTGGAAGGCTTCTAGCCCCTTGGCCTCCTCATCCTCCTCCTTCCATTGGCAGTCGGAGGCTGGCAGCAAGGACCGTACCTCCCAACTCTCTCCGATTCCATCTAGGTCCCCGCCCGGGGACAGACCAGCAGTAGGATCTAGCACCTTGAAGTCCCTCATCAGTGAAACCCCACTATCAGCTTACAAAGTGAAGAGCCGCACCAAGATTATCCGGAGGCGGGGGAATGCTAGGTCTGTGTTCCTGTGGCCCTCTACCCTACGTCAGGGTTGGTCCTGTCTGGGCTCGTGGGGCAGAGTCTGGCAAGCTCCTTCCTTGGTATGCAGAACAAATGGGGAGGCCCACTGGCAGGGCTGTGGGAGGAAATGAAGCATCTCCCTGCACCTGCCACCCAGTGGGCCTGAGCATGGAGCTTTGTGTGTGGTGGTGATAATTCTCGTAGGAATGAGGCTGGGGTCACAGCTGGCCTGTACAGCTGAGTCAAGGGCCTCAGCATGGCCAGGGGTTTGCCTGGGGCTCCCAGCCTTTCTCCTGTTCGTGAGATACCAGGGCCTGATCGGGTGGCTTCCGTTCTGGGCCCCTGGAGTTTGTGGGCAGACTGCTCTGTGCCCGGGCCAGGCTCTCGGTGAGCAAACCCAGACAGCAGTATGTCTGTTGGGGAAGAGGGGGATTGATCTTCTGCTGGGAAGAAGGGCTGCCCCTTGGTGGCCCGGGGTCCTGGTGAGTTACTGCCTCACTGAATGGATGTCACTTTCCTGACCCAAGGATTGGGAGGAGGCTCAAAAATGGTGCCTTGGCCCAGTGTGTGGTCTGGGGGCAGGGCAGCTGTGGAGTATGAGGGCAGAGGGCCTGCCCCTGCCATTAAGACATGTGGCTCCATTCTCACTGTGAGTCTCCCTGCCATGGGCCTTCCTGCTGTCTAACCTTGGTCCTGAGTCCTGCTTGCCAGAGAGGTGCTGGATTACATGGGCTGCCCCCACCCCAGCTTTTTCTGGACAGTGGCCCCTCTGTTTCAGGGAGTATGAAGGGGAGCCTTGAGCAGCAGCCCTTCCTGTGGAAGGGTTAGGGAGGCTGGTAGGAGCTCCTTCTCCAGGCGATGCCCATCTCCTTCATCCCTTCCCCATCCCCATGTGAGGGCTCATCTGGCCTGGGGAAGTGCAGATGGATGTGGATACAACTGGGTTGGGGCCAGAAGCTGGGGCCGCTCTTATTTTCTGCCTGCCCTCTGCCCAGGGTCCTCACAGTTGTGTCTGGGAGCCTGGCTGCTAAGGGAGAGTGGGCATCCATCGAGACAGCTGCTGCTGATGAGGTGGGAAGGTGGGGCTGGTGGGGCTGGAACCCAGTGGGGCTCGGCAGCTTCCTGGGGCCAATTCTGTGGTACTGGGATCCGGAAGGGCAGCCACCCTGCTTTGGGAGCCTGTTGGGAGCTGCTTGGTCTTTGTCTCCACAGCCTTCCTGGGGACAAGAAGAGTGGCTCTGTACCTGCCACCGTTGCCAAGAGTCAGTTCAGCCCACGGCGGAGGCAGGCCCTCCGGGGGAAGAGCAGCCTTGCGCTGAGGAAGACTCCCAACAAGGGCCTGGTGCAGGTTGCTGGGCACCGGCTCTGCCCCCTGCCTCCGAGCCGGGCCCACCTCCCCACCAAGGAAGGTATGACCATGCAGAGGGGCTCCGGGAAGTGGACTGCACCAGGCCTGCGAGCCCCACCTCTCCCTGGGCTTGCGCTGGCTCTGCCTCCCTGTTAAGAACCACCTTCAGCGTGCGCCCTGCTCTGTCGGGGCCCCAGCCCGAGAGCTCTTGGCCTGGTGGGCGGTGGGTGGCTGGGGCGCTGTGACCTGCACTCTGGGGTGGGGAATTGCTGTTGGGCAAGTTGTGCCTGCCCTTTCAGCCCATCCCCCTGTGTAGACCCCTTGGCAGAGGGCACGGGAAAGTGGGTGAGAGGGTGTCCATCATGCCCACCTAAAGGAGGTAGCTGGTATTGTCAGGGTCCTCAGTGTGGTCTCTCTTGCCTGGCCTGGGGTGGGTGCCCACTTCCTGAGTCACTGGGAACCTAGCCCTCCTGTGAGGTGATGGCAGCACACGGGGGGAGCTGTGCTCGGCAGGCACTGCTGGGGATCTGGGGGGTCTGGGGCAGTGGGGAAAGGGGAGGTGATCCCTGTGACTTTATCCTGGAGTGCCAGGGCTCACTGGGCACCTCTGGTCCCTTACTGTGCCCTTTCTCTCCCCTTTGAGCAGTTGGGGGATGTATAGCCTTTGCTTTCTGCCCTGATGGTTGTGGAATCGGGAGGTGAAGGGACTGGGTTGAGCCTGCTTGGCTTCTGGCAGTCCAGCCTGGTACTTGTGCATCAGTGACTAGGCTATGTTAGGTATGTGGGGGCCAGGCTGAGGGTGCCATCCTTGGCTGGGCAGGTGGGCTTCCATGGTCCCAGAGGAGCCAGTGCTGGAGCTGGCCACAGGAGGGTGGGGCCGCAATAGGGTGGTCACTGGCCACCACTGTCTTTGGCTTTGTCATGTCCCGTGGGTCCTGCTGCGTGTGGACTTCATCCCAGGGGCACAGAGCAGAGGGAGCCTGATGGCGGTTCCTGGGGTCCATAGTGAGAAGCTGGACCTCAGCTGCGGGGCTGACCGACTGGCAGTGGGAAGAAGGCAGTGGATTGACCAACAGCCATGCTGCCTAGGCCTGACTTGGGGGGACAGGTTGGGATGCCCCTAACTTTGGGAGGCTGGCATTGGGTTGCTGAGCCTCAGGGAGGTTTGAGGCCAGGCGGGGGATCAGGTAGCCTGGCACAGCTGGGAGAGAGGTCAGGAGGCAGTGCCGGGGCACATGTGGGCCTCTGCGAGGACTCACGGCCCGTTTCGTGCCTGTCACGTTGCTGTGGTGGCCGGCAGAGGTCGCTGTGAGGGGGGAGGTGTTGCAAGTGCAGCTCTGTCCTGCCACCGAGCCTCTGTGAGGGGTGGGGCGCTTGCCTCCCCATCTCCCCCCTCCCTGCTCTGCCTGCTTGTTCCGAGGCCCTAGGCTGGGGTCTCCTGGTTCACATGCTTTCAGTGATGCTGTAGGCGCTCGGCTTGCTGTCCCTGGGCTGGCAGCTGGGGGCTAGCAGGCAGGGCCTCCCTGTGGCTGGGCTGCTCTTTCCCGGTTTCCTGCACAGATGCTCAGGACCAGCCCTCCTTTGAGCAGGGTTGGGGAGGGACCTGACCCGCCTTGGAGGGAGGGAAGGTGGGGTAGTAAAGAAGACAGGGCTTTTGGGAGCTGCCTGTAGCCTAGCCCAGGCCCTCACCTCTGCCCTGACATGCGGCCTCGTGGCCAGCAGAGGGTGCACTTGCCCCTCCTATCCCTCAGTCCACCTTTTTCTGGTAATTGATTGCCTAATTTCTTCTTTATGTGAAAGAAAGCAGATATCGAGTAATTTGCAGCAATAACCTGCTAATGCTGGGCCAGTATCGAAACTCCCCTGTTCATTTCAAGTGGCAGATAAAACACTAATACATAATTATCCTTGCAAATTGGATTGTTTTAAATAACCAAAAGGCTATGGCCAGGAGAAAGTGATCCCATCTCTCTGGAGTTACTATTGCAGTGTAATTGCCGCGTTCAATCAATTTCCCTGGCATTAGAAATTCCATCACAATCAACATTAAGCTTTATTCATTGTGATGGCTAAGAGCTGGGCCATTTCTCCTCTTTTTCTTAACTGGCAAAATTAATCAGGGAAAAGATTTTAAACATTTACCCGTGCGGAAGAGGTCAGCTCTGCCACTATATTGCTCAGCAGATAAGGAGGCTAATAAAAAGAAAATTGAATTACTAATGATCACCAGGAACAGAGTATATAAAACCTGGCATTCGCCGGTTCAGGCAAAGGGAGAATCAATTTTGTTGGGACAAGGTGTGCTCATTTTTTATTTTGGCGCATATTATCAGCGATTTAATTTGAAAGTGCATAAACAGGAGGGAACAGTTAGGGAATAACGGGCCCAGGGCTGGGAAGTGCCGCAGGATAGATGCTGTACACGATTTATTTGGCACAACAGATAATCGCTTTAATTGAATCCAGAACTGCATTGTTCAGCAGCTGTGTGGCCGCTGGAGCCATGGGGACTGAGCTGCTGAAGATCCAGCCTGCTTCCCCGTCTTACCGGTGCTCCTCTGCCTCTCCGCTTGCCCCACTGCCTGCTGCCCACTGGCCAGCCCACCCAGGTCCCTGGGCCTGGAGTCAGACTCTGGCTGAGGAGCCAGTGGGCGGCCCTGCTGAGCTGAGGACCTGGAGGGCCTTTCCCTTTGCTGTCAGTGTGCCTCTTGCCTTTGTCTCTTCTCTTCTCCTGGGCATGAGTCTTGGCAGCTGGGGGGTTGAGGGGTGACCCCTAGAAATGGGCCCAGGCAAGCCTCGTTTGCCGAGGACCGCTAGGGCTACCACATTTTGGGTGCACAGACACTGCCTAACCTGCCCCAGCACAGACAGACATTGGAGAAGGCAAAAGAGGAAGAGAACCTTAATGGGCCCCAGATGTTCCCACTTTACCGCCCATGTAATTGCGGCAGTCAGTAACTGCAGTGTGTGCTGTTCACAGGACGCATAGCCCAGGTGGCATGCAGCGTGGGCCTGGGGGCTCAGGGCCAGCACCGTGGCTTGTCCTTCTTTGGCCACACTGGGCCTGGTGCCGTGACCTGGGTTGCCGTGAGGTGCCAGGCTTGATGTGTGCCAGGGAGGGTCCCTGTATGCAGAGAGGGTGCTGCCCAGCCCACATGCATGTGGCCAGGCTGAAAGGGAGACCTGGGCCTCAGGCTGTGGGGGCTTCGTAGTGGCAACAGGTGATGGGATTCCTACCAGCTGTGTGGGAATGCTTGCTGTTGTGTGCGAGGAACAGTAGTGTTGTCATCTCCTGGAAGTTGCTGGGGTGGGAGGACGCTTCTGCCTCACTCACCCAGGACAGTGGACGTGTGTGGACAGGCCCCCCCGCCTGTCTTGAGGCCTGGGGCCCTGCCCGGGAAGCCCCAGACTGCACAGATGAGTGGCCAGCACCCTGGGGGAAGTGCTGGCTGGTGGGATGCTCAGGGCTTCCTGGGTGGCTGGGACTGTCGTTGACTGGAAGGGCCTCGGTACACAGTGCCTATCTCTGGCTGAGAGCTCGCCAGGCCTGTGGCTAGTGCTTCCCACACGCCCTGTAGTCCACTGTGCCAGCCGTGTGGTCTGGAGGAGCTGCCAGCCCCTGTTTGTGGATGAGAAGTGGGTGTCCACTGCCCTCGGCCACTGGCTGGAAAGGCAGCTGTGGTCTTGGGCCTTAGTCAGCTGCCAGGCCTTGTCCCATGCGGTAGTGGCCAGCGAGGAGCCCCCCGGCTGGTGTTACCCGGTGCTAGGGCCACCCTGCCGCCGTGGCCTGAGTGTAAGTGTTGCTGGCACTGGGACTCCCATTCCCTGTGTCCTAGTTTTTCCGAGGAAGTGCTGAGAGTCACAACCGGTGCAGCTCCCTTCAGATGCCCCCTCCTCCGGCCTGCCCTGACCCGCCAGCATCTAGAGCCCCGATCAGTCCCCCTGGGCGGCTCTCCTACCTCCCCCTGGCCCCAGAGCAGGGACCCTTGGGAAGCTGGGGTCCCTCAGACATGGAGCTTGCTGGGCAGTGGGTTCCCCCCGTGGTCCCCATCCTCTGCGTTGGGGTTCTGTGGGCTAATTTTGAGGGGACAGTCTGGGATGTGCTCTTTACCTGTTGCCTCCTGGCACCTTGGGCAGTGTACCTGGCCTTGCTGTCCTGGGGTTGCCCCTGCTTGGTCATTCAGACTTGAAGGGCCTGCCTTGGGGCCATCCCTGTGTCCCCAGGGCATCCCCTGATCCTCCAGAGGTCAGAGCCTCTCTTAGCTGCCTGGCACTGAAGCCCACCTGGTGCACTACTTTTCAGGGACAGTCATGGGGGCTCTTGCTGAGCAGGCGCCTGTGGACCCTTGTGCAGCCACTGGGAGCCTTTAAGGAGCCCTTGAGGTAGTCCTAACTTTACCTCTTCTGAAACCCTGTGGTTCCAAGTGCCTTACCTCTTCTCACAGGCCCCACCTGCTCAAAGCCCCACTTTCCTCTTGAGCTGGTGTGCCCCATGGCATCCTCTCAGGAGGCAGCCTGGGCCCTGCTGCTTGACACTGGGCAGCCATGTGCATGGCCTATGCTGGCCTCAGGGCTGCATGGGGCAGGTCAGTAGGTAGAGGGAGTTGAGTGAAGCCTGGCCTGGGCCTCCACAGGAAGGTGGTGTCTCCTTACCACTGCTGCTTGCCAGGGTGCTTTGGGGTGGCCGGGAGCAGAGGGCTTGCCAGGCTGAAGTGGCTGTGCCCCTGCCTGCTCCTACACTACAGCCAGGCTGCTGGGAAGAGTCTGAGGTGGGTGGCCTCCTTGTGAAGGCTGACTCTCCTCTTCGGAGTTAGCCCTAGGCCCCTGGCCCTCGCACTGTCAGGAGAATGGGAGGCAGGAGTTGAGCCCGGGGGTGGCCCTCCGCAGCCCTGCTGTGGGCAGACACATGCAGTCCAGCCACTGCCCAGGAGGCCTTGGCTCTCCCTCAGCAGCTGAGAAGCAGGTAGGACGACGGAGGTGGGCCTGCTGTGTCACAGCAGGGGAGGACCGAGGGCCAGGGCAAGGCAACTGCTGTGCTGTCCTGCCCTCTCCCCCTGGTCG